TTATCAAGCATATGTGGACGATATAAAATCCCCTTTTTTCGTAATTTATTAAAGAAAGGTACTATAATTTACTCATACAAACATCAAATTTACATTGATTACACAGATTTTTCATGTATAAGACACTCATTATGTAAAAAACTACTAATAGTTTTTGAAAATTTTTTTTTGTAGGTAATTTCACGTCTTTAAAAAACGACACTTTTCTAAAACAAAATATACTTTATTCTATTTTTATTGTTATATTATTATTAGTTTTTACTTTTATAACGATAAAATGCATTTTTAACTTTTTATCTAAAGCAGAATATTTTTTTTGGAAATATCTATGTATAAAATTCAACTTTATGTAATTGACAAGCTATCATAGTTTATACTAGTAGATTAATATAAAAAAAAAATCATCTTTTGTACGAGTAGTATATGAGTCATTATAGTATTTACTGTAAAAGCTCTTATAGTTATACGTAAGTATCAGAAGATTCGAATTATTTGTATACCTAATGTTTAGAGTAGAGCTCGAAAAATATTTGTACCTAAAATTGGAAATGTGTATTTGATGCTTCGAGAATTCTCGGGTGGCGACTGGTGAGAATCCTTGGATGATATATGTAGTGAATTTAATTATTTTTCAATGCGTTAATATTCTAGTTTTTATTGTGCATTTATGCGTGTTATCAAATTACGATTACGTTATTTTAATTCATTCTATTCTAATCGGTTTACACTGCTTTCCTTTATTTTACCCCTGGGATTCGATCAAGAGTCATGACTCATAACGGAAAGCATTTGCATTTTAAGCCATACTAGCTATATCATATATTATATTATTATATTACTTCCCAGTTCCGGCCCTCTCTTGATTCAAAACGTTCGAATCTATTATACTTACTCCCTCCCACTGATTATTTCTCAACAAAATGAGTTTCTTTTACACTTTCAAGTTCTGACCCGATCATAACCACCGGCCCTTGTTTAATTTAGTTATTGTTTTGTACGTCTTGTGATTGCGATATTACTCTCAATAAATTGATAACCTAAATTAAAATAGTATAAGTTTATAACAATTCATATAAATAAAATGTATCGGCAACTAAATAGAAATTGTACTATGTTTATTTCGAAACAATATAGTGAGTGTTTATAGTATAGCTATTGCCTATTAGCTAATAACTATAGGTTACATAGGTACCTAGTCAATGAAAATATTTACCTAAGTCAATTAATATAGTATAGGTAGGCATATAATAGGTACAACTATTACTCAGGCCCTATTATTTGTAAAATTTCGGACTGAATATTTCATTTTATTCTCGTTACCTTCTTAGAAAAAAGAATGTATTAATATTATATATATACAGGGTGATTGATTTAGCGTAAAACACTCATTATCTCAAAAAGTATTAATGTTTTTGAAAATATTGTTTTAAATAGTTTCAAGTTGTTAAGAAAACAACGTTTTCATTAAACAATTATATTTTTAAATATTTTTTATCCTTATAGTTTTTTAAGATTTTTACTTTTTTGAATGATAGCATAGAGTTTTAATTTCATATTCCAAAGCAGAATATTTTTCTAAGTATTTTGATACATAAAAATCGAACTTAGGACGAGTAGTTTATGAGTTATAAGTATTTTAAGTTTAGATAAGCGGAGTGGAGTGGTATGGGGTTACCCCGCAAAATGATTATCCACTACACCGCCCATCTAAACTTAAAATACTTACAACTCATAAACTACTCGTCCTAAGTTCGATTTTTATGTATCAAAATACTTAGAAAAATATTCTGCTTTAGAATATGAAATTAAAACTCTATGCTGTCATTCAAAAAAGTAAAAAACTTAAAAAATTATAAGGATAAAAAATATTTAAAAATAGAATTTTTTTAATGAAGACGTTGTTTTTTAACAACTTGAAACTATGTAAAAAAATATTTTCAAAAACATTAATAATTTTTGAGATAATGAGTGTTTTACTCTTAATGAATCACCTTGTATATTATATATTAGGTACTTGTTTATAATAATTTAACAATGCAATTCAATAAAACAACAAAATACTTATCTTTTAATAAAAATCATATAAATTAAAAACATATAATAATATATATATTAATCATATAATAATAAAAACCTTAACTTAACTTTTTAATAATTAAAATTATAAAAATGCATATTACTTTCTTGATTTTTAATCAAGTAAGTATGGTAATTGAAATGAAAAAAGTCTTAATTTTGAAAACTTCAAGAATTTGTGTTAAATTGGAAAATAATAAAAATGTAACTCAGCAATGATGAGTAGGTGGGTAATTTAGCCAGCTTTAATATAAAATATTAATGAGAGAGATTTGATATCACACCCAAGCGGTATAACCACTTGAATCCACAAAAACGTAGGCGTGAACAGTCGCAAAATTCCTATTTTTTAACTTTTCTCCTAAACTATGGTCTATGATACCTAGCTAGAAAGTTGGTTGATAACTCATTAAAAAGAGATTATCAAGTAGACACTAAATGTGGAATTCAAATTTTTTTTAAAAATTATTTAATTTTTCACAGATAAAAAAAGGGTTATTTTGTCTAGTTTTTCATTTGGTGTGGTAGATTTCCGAAACTGGACAACGGATTTTGTTGTTTGGGGTCTTGTTAGATTCACATTAGCTATGAGAAGTGTAGTGAAGATTTTCAGAACTTTATCTCCAATCGTTAATTCACTGCAAAGCTGTAAAGCTGAAAAACATCAAAAAACGCCCAATAAAATTTGGTTTAAATTTTATAATGTTCTGTAGTGAATTAATTATTAAAGATAAAGTTCTCAAAATCTTCACTGCACTTCTCCTAACGAATGTGAATCTAATAAGACCCCAAACAACGAAATTCGCTCTCCGGTTTCAGAGATTTATCTCACTAAATGAAAATGAAAATGATTTTTTTGTGGAGCTGTTCAGTGTTCATACAGACATTTTCCTGGATTCAAATTGTTATACCACTTGAGTGTGATTATATCAGTTAATACATTTCTAAAAATTAAAAATCAAGAAAGTTTACATGTCGATCCCTGACTTGGTAAGCTTTTTTTTTATACTAAATGCTAAACGTGGTTATAGCCATAGACCTTATACTTAAGTTTAAGGTAGTTATAGCTAAGGACTATGATAATATATACAGGACTGGACACGACAAAGTTGGAGTGTGTGGGGGGTTGACCACGAAATGTTATACAACAGGCGGAGTTCGGGAGGATATTTTCCTTTTATCATTACTAGCGTTAGCATTTTTTTTATGATCAACAAAAAAAATTTTAACAGATAACAATGTTTGAAAATGAATTATAATTAAATATAATTTATATTTAAAAAAAATCAGGAAATACTCATATTTCCTAGTAGCTGGTATACTATTTAATTTTTGTTTGGTAGACCGTAGTGCACACACATAGGGCCTGCTAGGTCATTTAGCGTCAATAGCGATTTAAAGTTTGGCATATTAGTTACCTAATATAATATTATATTAATGCCACTGTTTCAATGAAAATATTTCTTAGGTACCTATTTATCTTGTACTTTGGTCTGCCTTAGGCATTATACCTACTTGAGTGTTCTAAATTGTTGTTATACCTCCATAAAAGAAATAATTATTAGTGTTAATGTTCTAAGTACCTACCTAAGTACTAACTACACTGTAAGATATTTTTACAAGTTTTAGTTTTCACTTTCAAATATTTCATAGGTTTATTTTATAAATTGGCACTAAATTCTAACCTAATTCAAGGTCAACAAATTATAAACTAACATAAAAACAGATATCAAAGTATCCAAATAAATGTAAATAATGAATTATTTAAACAGTAATAAAAATGGAATTAAATTAAATTCTAACATTTTAATAAATTTAAGTTTATCAGAATAATTAAATAAATATAAATTATTAGTTTGAAACTATATAGGTACTTAAATCTTAATGTAACAAGATAAAACTGCCAACAAGTTCATAAATTCTTAGCTTCAGTTTTTTAAAGTAAAAGAAAATGTATTTTTGGTAAATATACCATTGTGTACAATATATCTTGACATATCAGTGAATCTATTTATATTATTCCAAGTATACATTATCTAAATGTATGTAATAAATTATATTTTAGGATGCTAGTTTTGCATTTACTGTTCTACCCCAATCATTACAATGTTTGTGGTGGATTGAATTTGTATTATTTTTAGTATGATTTTTTCGGGTTTGGTTTTAGTTTAAGTTTAAAATCAAAATGTCAATAGGTATAATATTTTTAAACCATAATAATGTTTTAAAATATCTTTAGATAAAATATCAGTAGTTTATTTAAGACTTTATAGTACAAGTTATATCTGATACGCAACACTAAATGAAAAAAAAAAAACATTTATTTATAAAAAGTTTTGGAATATAAATGAAGTATATTAAAACAATTACAGAAATTTTAATTCCATACTAATAATATAACTAGTTTTTTTTACACTTCACTGCAATGTTCCTCTTTGATTAAATGTTTAAATGTAGTTTATAAATGATAAAATTATGTCTTAAAAATAATATTACAACACACTTTGTGAGCAGTCATTTATGTACATAATTATGAGCAAGTAAATTAATGCTTGCCAATATGATGTATGGAAAGTAGTTAAAATTTTTTAAAAATATACATGCAAGAAACTGGAAAATAGTTTTAAATAAAGCCCATGAATGAAAAAAAACCAACAAGGTTAACCAAAATAAATAACCAATAGACATTGATTGTTTTGTAGATTTTTACCTATTCATTTTCACACTTATATTTTAAATATACAGTATAATAATATATTATATACTAGTATATGGAATCATAATATGTTATCATTAGAAGTTATGAATTTCAAAGAATTTACAATATTAAATAAAATGTGTTGTTGAACTTCACTAGCTTATGAAATTGGTAATACAGTTATTGAATGTTATGCGATGATTATTTATTTAGTCATATCAAATCTTCAGTAGATAACATCAATATTACACACTAATATCTTCTTGGACCAGCTGGAGGACCTAAATAATAATTTTTGTATGTAGAAAAAATGTTGATCATATTTAATATACAACACTACTTACCTCTCATCATAGGTGGAGGAACGCGCATGGTTGGCATTGGTGGTGGTCCACCTCGACCCATACCAGGCATTGGTGGCATACCAGCTAAGACATAATTAAAATATTATTAAATACATGATTAATGATGTATATTTAAAACTATGCATACCCATCATGCCTGGTGGAGGAGCCATCATTGGTGGACCTCTTATTGGTGGTTGAGCGGGAGCACCTCTAGTTGATGCCATTGCAGCTGGCGAAGGACCTCCAACACCTCTCACTGGTCCTTGTAAGCCTATATGTATAAATAAAATAAAACTACTTAGAACTCTAAAATAAATAAAAAGAATTTATGACACTAAAATATTTAGTGAATACTTATAAATAATAATCATATATGTTAACAACAATTTAATTTGGTTCTAAATTTGTTAAATAATTTAGAAGAAAAATCAAACTTAAAAAAATATTTATTTAAAATATATATTATGTATTATCATTCTATAACCTACAAATAGATGGTAATTTTTAAAAAAGTACATTAAGTATTATAATAGTTATATTTATAACTGTAATAGGTACCTACTAACCAAAAATAATATTTTATGTTCAATAAAAATAGTTGCAAAAATTAAGATATTTTTTAATTAGGTATCTAAATAAAAACCAACCTATGGTTTTTAAAAAATATTAAAACTATTTAAAAAATGTTAAGAACAATAAATATATAATTCTAAAATATTACCAGGTGTAGCTTCTGATGGTATGACAGAAGGCATCCCTCGTCCGGCAGCACGGCTAGATCCTGGACCACCACCACCACCGGGTAGGGGCACTCTTGGAAGACCTTCCTCAGGTGGAGGGGGTCCTTCGATAGTTATAGATACTATATTTTGTCCACGTAATAAAACAAAACCAAGTACACGCTTTTCTACTCTTGGTTCTGCGGGTATTGTAGGTACTTTGGCTTTACTTTTCAGTCTACGATATTCTTCACAGTCATCCAAAATCAAGTTCATATATTTGTCGTAGGCTATGAAACACAAAAATGTTAGCGAAACGATCAAACATCAATAATTATTTATAAAAGTTGAATAAAATACCTTTAAATGTGCCAATGAACATTCTGGAATCTTGTAAGTTGACGCGCACTCTGTAGTTGATGTGCTGCATCATCTTGTTATTCTTTGTGACAGGCTATAATCAGTAAAATTGTATTCATGAAACAAGACACATTGTGTAAAATTAACCCATTAACAATACATAGAATTAAAATATAATCAAATAGAACAAGCAGCAATTGAATACATTTGTGGGTAGCTAGTATTGAGAAACGAGTGGGTCCAATAACTGAACATATATAACTGTGTCAAGCCATTAATGGTCTTAAACCGTAAACGGTTCGATCTACCTAGCACGACCAATTCGCAATAGCTCGAAAACATTCAACGGTTCAAATTTTTTCTTGGCCCTTGAAATTCTTGTAACTTGTTTACAACACTTTTAAGTTAAATTAATTTTTATTCCCCTTGAGATTCGATTTATCGAGACTCGACAAGGGAAGCAATACAAGATGACAGTTTCCGAACAATATGTTCGTCAAAAACCACATTAAGGGGATCGGTGGCGGCGTATATTTAAGGAGTTCAGTATAGGCAATATTTATAGTGCGTGCGTGTGTGACTTGAGACTGTGTGTGTAGTAAATGATTATTAGTGTGTGTACGTGTCCCCGCACCGTACCATGTTTACCGTGGCATGCGATAAGGATAACCGATGGTTTCGAAGAATCACCTACGCACGCGGCACGCACAGGCACAAGTCACCACCGCGTTATCGCGCGCGTGAACAATCCAGAACGTGTGTTTTATTTGATTAAAACTATGTACCTTATGTCAATCCTACAGATTGATCTAATAATGCGATAATATTTCAGAAAACTAATCTGAATTCGTTATGATGTCGACTTGAGATCGGTCAGTCCACATTTTAAGATTTTTGATTTTAATTCCGAAAAATTAACGTTTGAAAATTCCTAAAATTTAAAATATTCAAACCAAATTTATAGGAGTTGGGGGGTAAAATTTGGAAAAGTGGACTGACCGATCTCAAGTAGACATAATCACAAATTCAAATCAGTTTTAAAAAGTATTATCGCATTTCTAGGTCGATCAGTACGATTGACAAAAGACTGGTATCTTTTGGCTAAAATAACTGATCGCCACCAATCCCATTAAATAGACGTCAAACGTCCAAATAGAAGTCGAACAGATACGAAACGTACAAAACATTATATCATTAATTATGTAGGTATCCTATGAGATTCTGTCGAAGGAAAATCTATCGCAACGTTTTGGATTTCGCATACACGAGTCGTATCAGGGACAATACACAACGACAAGTCGTCAGAAACGGAAAATTGGAAACACAAGAGTCGTGCGGTTAGAATACTCACCATTTTTGCGGGTTGTGTGTCACAGGAGTACGGGACTGAATTCGAGGCAGATTTGGAGTTTCAACGTTTTTAAACGTACGGCTTTCGATTTACTGTCCGGCGCTTAAGTATTTACCTAATACCTAACTAGTAAACAAACGCGGAAACGCCGTCGGCCGCGCACTACAGTCATGAAGTGAGGCGCGTCGGTTGTTCTAGTTACGGAAACGGATCGACATTGGCAGGGCTGCCAACGCGAGCCCACGACACCGATGACAATCCAGACCGTGGTACCATAGAACAAAATGATTGCACGGCGTTGATACCACGAATTAATATATACTGGATACGCATAGAGCAAGGTGGATTGATAAGGTGTAAACACTTCGGGTCTGTCTATACCACAGACTTCTATACTACACTAGATAAGGAACTCTTATACAATTTACATTGTTGCAAGTGAAGCTCAGCTGTGAACGGCCGCCATTTTGTCGGTTGGCAAAACATTTCATTTATCATACAAAATGTATTGGGAATAATATTTTTTTAACGGTCAAATAAAATAGTAAATGTAAAATGACTTATATAAAATATTTTTTTTTTTTTGTAAACTAAATGTTTAAAAATAATAAAATACGATATAAAATAAATCATAATATCATCTTATTTGTCATATGAAATACCATACAATTGCCAACCGATCTTGAAGCTTCAATTCATGACCGGAGTTCGCTATCTAGTAATATATAGAAATCTGTGGTCTATACGCAGTCGATTAGACCACCACCGTCGTTATCATTTTGTTATTATCAAAAAAAAATTGTTATCATATATATTATAATCTATATCATATATCTATATCATATATTATATAACTTTAATAATTTATTTTATGCTATTTAAATCTTAAAACATAGTAAGTACATTATAGTATGTAAGTACATATATTATTACATTATTTTTTTAAGTATTTATTACAAGTTGAAAACAAATATATCATTGTAAAACTAATACAATCATGCTTTGTTCATAAAAATTTCACTTAATTATAAAAATTATATAAATAACTCACATAAACAATAAATATCTTTACACAGTTATAATCAATTTAAAAGTGTATAATTATGTAATATAATAAAAATTGCCATTAGATAAAAATGTAAGTCAATAAAAAAATTAATAATAATACCTAAAAATGTAAGTAAATAAAAAAATTAATAATAATATCTACGTCTTACGCAAGTTTCTTTTTTTTTGTGGTATTTTGGTATGTCTAATAATTGTTCAGATGAACGCTTTGGAGGTAATAATAATAAACCATTTTCTTTATTTGGCATAGAATTCATTTTCGAATGAACACAATTTAAAATCTTAAGCTGTTCAGATAATTCTTTTGAATGGTTATTTGTATTAACTATGTATGTTAAATCTATCATCTTTTTTAGAGTTTCTCGAATTTGTTCTTGAAGATTTTGTTGCTTTTCATTGTCTGGAATTGTACTATGTTGGTCATTTCTACTGCTGTCTATATCTATATCATTAAATTGTAAAGCATTTTTTTTCCCCATACATTAACAGGTGATTTTGTTAAGATTTCCTTACTATGTACATTTTTTATAGAATAACGAGGATCAGCAGATATGAATGGATTATTTAAAAAATGTTCACTTAAATCAGATCACACAATGATTATTAAATAAACTCAGTTAATCAAAAATAGTTTTAATAGTGTTAGAAGTGTTTAAAAATTGCTTAAACTAAAGAGTTAACTAGTATAATAATAACTTTACTTTGATCATGATATTTAAAAAAATTTATTACGCCTACCCTATCGAGCCACTACCTAATTCCCCATAATAGAGGAAAAATGAGATTATTATTTGACTATTGGGGTAAGATAAACATTTAATTTGCAAATAGTATATTTATAATATAATATTAATTTAAATAGTCCCATTTCTATGGCCAGAAGTCCCGTCTTATAGGTACTCTAAGGTTTCGTATTTTAAAATATATTATAGTATAGATTACATTTGTTAAGAAAATTGCAATTACTGTATAATATGCAAAATATGCATCAAATTCTACAATTTATATAATAATATGTTATTATGTTATATTATAATCTATGAAATAATGTAATGTAGGTATTTATTATAATGGATGATACGATATGATAACAATTTTGTTTTTGATAATAACAAAATGATAGCGACGGTGGTGGTCTAATCGATTGCGTATAGACAGACCCAAACACTTCCACCCGCCCGTCTTAGATAAAGTGATCGAAAACTTTACTCCAGTTAAATATGCCGCTAGGTTCGCTGCCTACCCTATAGAGGATAAGAAATGTTAATATTTATATGTGATTTAAATGTATTAAGGTTTTCAACTTTTTTTGTAGAAATGCGTTATAATATGGTATACCTATAGTATATGAGTTATGATATATTTAAAAATACATATAAATATATAATATAATAATGTAAAATAGCTATTTTTGTATTCATAAATTATATAATATAATTAAGATGTGTCCAAATTTTGTGGCTTGAAGTAATTACCTACTCGTTATTACACTATGGATATAGGTATACAATTAGAAAATTATATATTTTATACATGTTTATACTAATCTAGAATTTTTTTTAAACGTTTTTTCTTTTTTTTTTGGTCTGACACATTGTTGTTATGTTTTTTGCAGGCAAAAATCATTCTTGTATTTAGGTAAAATTTTACGATGTATTTAGTTAATTCATATTCAAGATCTGTACAACCAACTTTAGATCCAATGCCTTGAAAAATTACTCCATCCATAACTATATATTAAAAAATGAAAAAAGAAATACATATATATTTATGATATAGGTAAGTATAAACATCTTAAATTATTAAAAATTATAAGTACTAACCATATTCTAAAATATTTTTATTTATCTGATTGTTATTCAGAACATTGATTATGGCTGTTTCCAAGCTATAAATAAGTTTCATTAAGCTATCTGTTGGTGTGAACAAGTGACCTTCACTTCTGAGGTTAACAAATCGCTCATTGTCAGCTAAAGAATTTATTTTCTTCAAAACTATTGAATCAAAGCAAGCTGTGCAATTTTTTGGAAATGAATGTTTTTTTGCATTTCATGCAACATAGCCAACAAAATAGGTTAGAGCACTTGAATAAATACTTAATTTATCTACATTTTCGCAATATAAGTGATCACTTAATATTTCAAAGCCTCCATTGTCTAATATACATATAATATAGTCCAATTTGAATTCTAGATCTGCTTTTTTCTGAATATCTTCACTATTATTTATTTGAATATCAAAATTTAGTATAGTGTGACGATTTTTCATTAATTAATAATTTTGATGTTGATAAAAAATAATTAATGCAAGCACCAATTCCTTGTATTTTGTATTTATTTGTGATCCTACTATATTGTTTTCTTTACCACCAATTAAACCAATCAGAAAGCAAATTGTGACTCCAGGGATAGTTCATAAATAATAGACATTTTTTATTGTGGTTAAAAAATTATGATTTATTCATATTTTAACAAATACAGTGGTAATTTATTGTGTTTTGCTTTAATTATTATAATATTACTCTACGTGGATCATATATAGATATTAAAGAATTGTCTATGATGTTTAATGTAATAATGTCTATGGTGTGGATACGCAATGAACCTGTGATAAGTGAAGCCCGCACTTCCTCACGTTGACTACCATAGCGCTTTATAGGATTGTTCTGTCTTAATTCGTGGTTGATACTTGATACTTGATACCAATAATTATTGAAATAATGTGGATATTTAAAAGTTAGAAGTTACAATAAAAGTTGTACTTGGTTCAACGTCGACGACACGTTGTACATTAATAATTGTAACTAGTAAGCAAGGTGTATTGTTATGTATATCAGTGTATCAATACACCTTACTAGCAAGTTATAGTTGTTAGTTAGACTTATTTACACTATATTTTAATTAATATATACTAACATTTCTATTTGGAATACTGTTTATTTTTGGGGCACCTACGACCTACCTGATTAATAAAATATAAATAATGATTATTTTATTATTCATTGTTTATGGTAAGTACCTGTACGTTGAAAAACCCAAATATTACAATATGTTTTTAACAATTTTAACTAGAAAAATTGTAGCAACTAAATTAGATTAAAATGAGAGGTGTTGTGTGCGGACTTAAATTAATTATTGGGTACTCACCTTTTTTAAGTATAAATAAAAGTTAGGTGTTTTGTCATTCTCGTTTTTACTATTCAACAATATTAATGTTCTCAAGCCTTTTAAACATTTGTCTTTCTCTATAAAAAACGAAGTCTATTATACTATATACTATGTGTTTCATTTTCACCAAAACGCTTATCAACATGGGTGTTTGAAAGGCACATATTAATATCTGTGAATGTCAATAATGAACATTTTAAAACGTTGTTCAACACGGAAACGTACTATTGCCTATATATTACGCCGTGCAACATATGTGTGGTTTAATATTTTAGACTCTGAATGAATGGCGAGTGACTGAGAAATGTCATGGGTATACGATGTTTTATCCGTACCTGTTTATTTATTGGATACATTTTAGAGTAGAAGTGGAGTTTTGAAAGTTTCGAGTAGTCCTGTGGTCCTGTCTATCGATTGGGAGTTTGAATTTGTACCAAATGGATGGTCCATTTCCCGAAAAGGATATACAACGTACTCATGGAATAAAATAAAATAAACATACGATTATTATGTTTAATGTAAAAGTAGGCTTGCAAGTATTTGCGAAGATGGTCGAACGGTAATAATGTACAATACATTTTTTGAAAAAAACTAAAAATAGTAATTAACTATAATTTCAAACAATTAAAAAAAATTGAAATATATATAACACAGTCAAGCAACTTTAAACCATTCTTTATGCATTTACATATTATACAGAATAATTATTTTTATTTTGTCAAGAAAAGTAATATTTTTAACTGCAGTTGAGCTTAGCAAGAATTAATT